ATATATTTAAACAAAATATATTTGTATATTGAATTTGTAATAGAAAAAAATGTATACCTTACAAAATGCACACACGCTGACGCACTCTAGTTAAATTAGTTAACATATATTTTAAAATTTTTATATTTTTATGCGCCTTTAGTTTAATTTTTATACCTAAGCAACTAGTTTACACGCAAAACAAACAAACAATTTATAAAGTGAAGACAAAACTATTCTATTAACAAAAGCATTTTTGTTAGTGATGCCACTTATTCCTAAACTAACATATAAACTTATTTTCTACGYTATTTTTATTTGATACATATACACATATTTAGTTAAAATATTACTTAGGAAGCGAGTAAAGAAACCATTGAAATTTTAAAAAATTTAAAAAACCCAAAAACCAAAAAAAACTTTAAATCAAACAAAAAAAATGCATTTACTTTTGACACTTTGGCATATCGTTGTATGTAGCTAATGACAACCGTTTGGTAACGGCAATAAATTTCTCTCAGTGTCACACACACACAAACAAACGCAAAATGCTTAGTTGTAATTATCTCAAGCGAAAACAATTTTGCCACACAAAAGCTAAACGCACAAACAGAACTGGAAAGCACACACACACACACACACACATACATACAAACAAACATTGAATGCATTGAATTTATTAATTTCTAAGCGCAAAATATATGAAAATTACATGTTTGAATTACGCACACAAAAATGTACTATGAAAATAACTATAAATAAAATAAAATTTAGACGACACAAAAAATTGTAAACTACAACAAATTTGTTGCAAGCGTTGTGTGAACTAAAATCGATTGTGTAGAAACCCAAAGCACTGAAAAAATTGCTAGCAAAGAATGTATTGTGTAAATAACGCCCAAAAAGCACACATTTTACATATTTATATATTTATATACATACTTATATAGTTACTTATGAGTTAGATTGAGACGAAATCGAAAATTGTAAACCTTATGAAGCGCCTAAACTGAAATACATATTTATTAAAAGCACGATGGAAAATATGATATGTCAATGAAACAAAAATAAAACAAACATGTGTTATTATTTATATTATATTATTCATATTTCTTTATGTTGTTGTTGTTGTCGTATTAGTTGCTGTTCTAGTGACGCCACAGCACAGTTGTATAAAAGAAAACTTGCTAATTTCTAGTGATGATCTCAAATTTGGTTGCGCGGCTGCAAATTTTCGCGATACACAAAGCGGAAGGAGGAGGCGGAGTAGGGAAGTAGCGTTGCTGGTTTCGTTTTCTTTTCAGAGCAAAGATATTGAAACAAAACTACTAAATTCAAAATGGTTGGATAATTTYTTCCTTACAAAATTCAAAACTGTAGGCGAAACAAATTTTCAGAAATTAAAGTAAAAGTATACTCACAAAAATTGGAAAATTAAAAAACAATTTTGCATATTAAAAATATACTTCCCAAAATAAAAACAATTTATATTTTTAATGTATATTTTCAAAGAATTTAGAAACTATATTTTCAGAATTGAAAAAGGAAAAATAAAATTTATTTAATTTTGCAAAAAAAAAAAATAATTAATT